ACTACTCTACTGCAATGTCAACGTTAATGACTACAAAACAAAGATACTCTCTGCTAAGGCTAGAAAACCTAGAATGAAGCTCTTCCCAGATTGTAAGTTAATGGCTATATAAGATTGAATGCCAAGAGTTAATCCAACGGACAATTGGAATACTGAAGTTGATGCCTCTTCTCATATCCTTGGCTTAGCTACTTATGTTATGGAAGAACTCTACAGGTACAGTTGGAGGGCAATACTCTTTTGCAACAAACTTGTACTGTTTCAGAAAACTAAATATAAGAATATAGGAAATGTATGTAGATATGCCTAGATGACTCTGCATGTACATAAACATACATGTCTATATATAGTCATTATTCAGTTAACATGATTTGATTAGAGTTGAGAAGGTAGATCATTTATCCCAATAATAGAATGTGTGCAGTTCAGACTCCAGTATACAGTCTTGGGATGAACTGAAAAGAGAATTATGCAAATCTATATCTAGAAAGTATACATTTGTTAGCACTTCACTCCACTAATCTTCATTGTCAGAAGGGGCTAGGATAAATTACCTTGTGTTGGCTATATTTTCCCTGACTGCTGGTAAGCTAGAATTGTTGTTGTTGCAACAAAGGTTGTGTAGTGCCATGACACAGTCGCCTCAAGGTAGAGTTCTATATTAGGAGTTTTCAAAAGTCAAATTTTATAAGAATATATTTGTCGAAAGGAGAATAGCAAAGCATGTTGTATTCTAAAAGAGAGAGTTCTGCAATGTAGCTAGCCAAGTGTTCCAACTGCAGTGACAGAACCTGTAGATGATTATAAAATTTTAATCGACTCTTGTTTCCTATATAAAACATGTTGGAGAATTATCAACCTTAAGTGAAGAGGTTACCTCATTAAGTCCTTGAGCAGCTCGAACAAACCTCTTGCAGTATATCTCAACAATAAGTTCCTAAACCTCTTGAAGTGGATCATCATTATTTACTCCTTCAAAGAATTTTTTTCATCACCCTGTTCTTCAAGAAAACGAAGAAGAAGAAGAATGTGAAGTCTCTACGACCGTTAGGGGTTCACTTGTTTGAATTGGACTAATCAGCTAATATCCTTCTTCTTTTTTCACAAAAATGTACTGTTCTATTTTAAAAATTATTTATTTTTAAATTTTAGAACTTTGCAAAATCTTTTTATATTTCTTAATTAAATTCCTTATTTAATCAAATTTCATCATATAAATTAGTAATTTATCATATGGTTCACATTGAAACTTTTGAAGCTTTCTATAAATATTTGATTTACATTCTTTTTATTAGGTACCTACTTATTCATATTTTGTAGAGCAGTAAATGAAACTAACAAATGATTGTTGGCTCGTGGCTATATTTTGAGATTCTTTTTTCTCTTAAAAATAATAATTTTAAACGTGAAATTGTACGTTTCTTTGTTCTTGAAATTAATTTGCTAAATAGTTTTGTCAATTGTTTCATAAAATGTCAGCTAAAAGAGAATAAGATGTTAAAACATTTACCTGCATTAGTTGATTGCCATTGGATCTAATGTCGTTATAGACGTTAGGGACATTCATAAAGAGTTTTAATTGCCGCTAAAAATAATATTTTGCGATGATTAAGTTATTGTCATTAATTAATTGTCGCTAAAAATCATTTTTGGTGTTGTGGCAAGAAATGAAAATAATAAATATATTTCTTGTTAGAAAAAACACCTAAGAAATAAGTACTATCCATTTAGAGCCTATTTGACATTATTTTTGGTTATTTTTCTATTTTCCGGGGAACTAGAGTACTGACTAAAGAGTAATTGTATGATATGAATTATGTATTAATGACAGTGTCATCTGACATTCTCCCCTAGAATTGGAGTTCAACTTAGTGCAGTAATGTATCAGCACCATAGAATTGACTGTTACTGACAATGATGTGCTTATGTTTTCCTTTTTCTACAGTGTCTTGTTGACGGAGCGGATGAGTATTTGCAACTTTTGAATGTTGCAAGCAGTACAATGCAAGCGCTTAGTAACATGCCACAGGACATGGAATTTTGAATTTGTATTCCTCTTATCAAAACTTGCTAAGTCACATTAATCGACCGCTTATTTGGTTTATTGGAAAGTCTTCTGATATGGTTTGCTTTCTAGTCTTTCTTCTTTGCCTCATAATTTGTCTACTTAGATAACGACTTGTATTAGGAGGAAAAATATAAGTATAAGTTTGACCCGACCCGCTATGGGAGTTGCCTCAGATTGGTGCTTCCCGTCTCCATTGCTGAAGCGAGAAATGGAAGAAGAATATAAAGAAGAAGAGTCATAAGAATGGACCCGAACTGGGTCCGGATTACTTGTCAAATCTAGAGACAGTTTGTCGATGGTCAGTGTCTAGCCGGAAGTCAATTTCTCCTTTTCATGATTCACTTTCCTTTCGTTTTCGTCACGTGAGTCGTTGCCACCAATGAGCGATGCTGATTGCTTTGCTTTAGAACCAACACAATTTTTACTATTTCTTTTGTGTCTACCTTTCCTAAAATAATTATTCCTCACTCTGTTTTAATTTATATGACGTAATTTTGATTTGAGAATCGTATATAACTATGAATTTGGCATTCAATCTTCAAGTTTGGATGTGAGTTTTGAAGGTTTTTCCACAAGATAAGTGGAGAGTTAAAATTTAAGATTATTCATTTTCAAGGTTATTGAGTATAATTTTTAGCGTTTAAAGATATGAAATATTATTATTCATAAGAATTGCCACAAGAAAGAATAGGTCAAAAAGAACCATATGAATAATTGACCATTCTGCTTTTTAAGTATGTGAATTGTCCATAAAAAAAAGGCTCCGAGAAAAGGAGTAATAATTTGGAATAGGGAATCTCAGTAGCTCAGTTGGTTGGTTATCTGAACTCCCACGGTAATGATTTGATTCCCCACATTTAATCCCTATCCTCAATCTTTTTAAAAAAAATAATTTGAAATAGTTTATAAAATTTTGAAAATAGTACGTTGTTGTTTGTCTTACTCCTCCGCAATTACAGCTGCCCCAACTTAATGATTTTAATGGGTGACTAGCATGTCGAAGAGATTCTATTATCAACATTATTGCAGAATCAACATAACTCACTAATAATTTTATAAAAAGTCAATCATTTTTAGGACTGTGCAGCTCAATATTTGATCATTAATCAGATTTTTTTTTTGAGGCTCCATTTGAAATGGAGATGTGCAACTAATCTACATATCACGTATTGCACTCTTACTATGAAACAAAAATTAAAGGAACTTGTCGAAAGGTCAGGACTGTCTACCAACAAAACTTGGTAATCAGAAATGGAAGAAAATCAAACCAACTGCACAAGGCAAATTGTACAAGACCTTGATTAAGTAAGGTCTAGAATCCATGATCTTTTGATTAACTTCTATCAATGAATGATTTTTTACATTATTATGTCAACTAAATGATAATTACAATGAATGCATAAGTGAAATTAACAACCTGACATATAAGGTAAAAGTTGGCGTAAAACATCTTAAAATACACATATAGCCAGCAATTCCTTATAGGACTAGTAAGAGAAAATGACATAAATAGTCCCTTAACTATAGGAGTAGGTCTAAAATGGTCCCTTAACTATACACTTAACGGATTTAGTCCTTTAACTATTCAAAAACTTATCAACTTTGGTCCCTTAACTATACACTTACCGGTTTTAGTCCATTAACTTTAAACTTACCGATTTTAATCCTTTAAGTATTCAAAAACTTATCAAGTTAGGTCTTTGTTCATTTTTTAAATACAAATAGTTTAGGTTTATATTAACGAAAATCTTCGTGAAACTAAATCTTTAACCCATTTTTTAAGTTGTCTCTATCTTCGCTTTTTTTTCTTCAAACTACTCTTATGAAAAGAACAATAATGTCAACAATTCATAATAAAATTAATGAGGAAAGAAGATATAAGTCCTAATTCTATTCAATGAGGATAAAATTAAGCATATAATTGTTGTTAATGACTTGAATTCGCACTTGAATATGCTAATCAGTGCGGGTTTTATTTAATTTACTCAAATTTCTTTACGTAAAATAAAATGAATAGAATAATTAAATTGATCTATTTAAAAAATAAAAAATTACAAATTTGTCATTTTATAAATTTCAATTTCTGAAAAATTAAACAAATTTCGTTCAATGAAGTCGTTGGAGTACAAACTTTGGATTTAACGGGTAATAATTTTTTTCTTTTTATAATAAAGTTAAGCATATTCAAGTCATTAGTAGCAATATTATGCTTCATTTTATCCTCCATTGAATAAAATTATGACTTATATTTTTTTCTTCATGAATTTTATTTTAAATCGTTGAGGTTAAGGTTATTCGCATAACGTTAATTTGAAGAAAAAATAGCGGAGAGAGAGAAATAGTAGAAAAAATTGCTAAAAAATTTAATTTCTCGAGGCATGAATTCCGTTAATATAAACCTAAGCTATTTGTACTAAAAAATGGACAAAGACCAAACCTAATAAGTTTTTGAATACTTAAAAGACTAAAATCGGTAAGCTTATAGTTAAGGAACTAAAACCAATAAATGTATAGTTAAGGGACCAAAGTCGATAAATTTTTGAATAGTTAATAAAGGACTAAATCCGTTAAGTGTATAGTTAAGGGACCATTTTATACCTACTCCTATAGTTAAGGGACTATTTATGTCATTTTCTTCTCGGACTAGTAACAACATGGACAAAGAATTATTGTAATTTTTAAAAAATTGATACAAAGTACCTGAATCAAATATGAGGCAAAAATGAGTTTGACAGTAAATAGGGGTGTGAAATTTTGAAGACACAAGATGTATTACAATGTGTATTGTTATAATTGACTCCAACTGAGGTAAACGTTTGGAAGTATTGAGCTTAATTGTACCACCAGCAGAAAAAAATCAGATTCATATTCAAGTTTTTTTTTTTTTTTTTGATAACCGAGAAATCCATCTGTGACCCTCCCTTTGGACCAATCATATTCAAGCTTTTTTGCCGAGCAGAAATTATAGTCAAAAGCACAATTGTATAAGTTTAGTCATATTTCTCTTATTCTTTACATTACTTGCACACGTCATTTAATGACAGACGGAAGAAAGGAGGAACGATGCAAGTGCAGCTTTATGTTCACACAAACCAACAGTCAAAATCTTTATAAAGCTGAGAGCCGCCTGATTATGGGATGGCACCAAGCATTGCGGTTGTGTCGAGAGAATGTGTTGCTGGGATGTACTTAATGCCAGCATTCAGACAGGTGTTTTCAGGTGGATGACTGAATCCTCAGCACTGCTCTTTCCATCCCAGAAAAACTCGAGAGCAAATTTCAGCTTTTTCTTTGGGCCCATACAGGGATACCCAACAATGTGAGATGCGATTTATCTGGTTCATAAGAAGCACACAATCAGATATACTCTCTGAACAGACATTCAACCAAGACAGGCTTGAATAGAACACAATAGCTATTAAGGATTCATATAGTTGACCCCAATGAATTTGAAAAGAAGGCTGGCAGTATGACAAGGAAAAGAATAAGCAGTAATGTGCATCTTTCTAGCTTGGAGAATTTGTTTGAATCAGATCAAAGAGACATGAGAAGATTAACTGTGACCTGATTGGGGGTGTTATTAATCCTTATTGGTGAAGAACATTCCAATTTCATGTTCTTAGAGAATTTAGAAAGGCATTAGTACGTATCATATACAGAGAGATCAATAGCGAGTCAATCATAATCCATGTTAATTCTATTATTAAATAAGAAGGTAGGAGAACAGGAGAAAACTATGGAAGCTACACCAATTAATTTGCATCCGAAGTAGCAACAATAGCTTATAAATGACCAGAATTCAACACAAGCAGGAAAGCAGAAAGGCTAGCCAGAGGAAATTATAGATTGAGGGCAAATCACAAGAAATCTGAAGGAGATATTACCTGAAATAAGTGAACAAAGTGGAAGAAGCAGGTCAAGCACAGAGAGAATGGGAGGAAGATGAAGCAGCAGAGAAAGAAAAGAGAAATCCCAACAAAGATCGATGAAAGTGCAAGGAATACACCTCTGCACATCTCCATTACTCTTTATGGGGAATTTTTCAGTGTCCCATATGAAGTTTACGTGAGACTTTGTTCAAATTCAAATCAACTGGATGTTGTCATTTTCCTGCAAGTAAATAGGCAATAACAGAATGTTCAAGTTTATCTGAACAACCAAACCTAAACCATCTTATACAAATGTCAAAATTAAAGGGCTGCAGTGATACCTAACTTAACGCCTGTAAATTTCAATTATATAAAGAAATCAATCATCAACCATCCTAAAGTAAAGGTATATAAAGGCTACTAAATAAATAATTGAAAGATGTATCAGCTACTGTGGGGCAGAAATCTTACTTAACATTAACAATGCATATACAAGTAAAATCATAAACAACATACATTCTAAATAGTATATTGTATTTTTGGGATCTGACCTTTTTTGGCAGCGGAAGATGATTCTCTTATCGCTAGAGCTTGTTGTCTAGGTAAATCAACACCCACTCCAAAACATGATGCTTCTTTCGTGCACTCAACCAAGAGACAGCAGCTTGCTGAATCAACATTTTTCACTCGTCACCGCGATAAAAACATTTTTTTTTTGTCAATTGACAACTGTACATACAGATCATGTCTTCTGAGCTTAATTTTAGAAGCTCTTTCTGCTGACAAATGATGCTTTCTTTTTTGGGAGGAATAAGTTGGTGCCATCATTTTTTTATCTGATGACATCTCGTACAATGATAACGAAGTTGGAAAACCAAAACAAAGACAACAGGAAATGAGGAGATTGAGCATCCTTTAAACCAATAATATATACCACATGAATGAACAACCGATGAAGTTGCTAAACTATTACTGAACACATCAGTTAGCATAATGTATACAAAAATTGCAGCTCCTATGTTCTGTCAAGGTCTCATAGTTGCTTCAGTAATTGCGTAGAAATAACATAGGGAAGTCTCACAATAAATTAAAGCTCTTGCAAAAAGGAGCAAACTCGGAGGAGAAAAAGTTGTCCAACTCCAACACGATCGAGTTAAAGGCAAATGAGAAAAGATTTTGCAGCTCAAAGAGATCGAGTTAAAGGCAAATTAGAAAAGATTTTGCAGCACAAAGAATTCACACAACAAACAAAGATTTGAAAAACGATTAGCTCCTAAGACCTAATTTCCATAATTTGTAAGCACCATGGCAGGCACCATGGCAGTAACAACTGCAAGCTTTGTCATAAAACCTAATTTGTCTAAGGGATTGAAGGAAACAATGGCAAGAAATTAAAGAATCAGCTGAAGATGAAAACCTCGATCAATCTGAAGACGAAACGGAGGTAAAACCAAAGCCAAAACACACAATTGCATACATAACGAAGCGACAACCATGTTCAGAGACAGATGACGCAGCTGACTTAAGAATTTAACACGCGTTAGACTTAGTTACTGATTGAAGTTTTTTTCCTCGTTGGTGTGATAAAAACATCACTTTTTTTATCATGTGATAATAATGTATGTAAATCATGCCTCCTGGTCTTTATTTTAAAAGCTCTCTTTGTTGAGTAATGTCGTTTTCTTTTTCAAAAAGACTCTAAATTCTAGCTCCACCTTTGGACGATGTAGGTAGCCTATCCTAATGTAAAATATGACTAATTTTACTGCTCGAACCCATGAGTTATAGGCCATTCTAACGTAAGCTATGACTAATTTTACTGCTCAAACCGATGATTTATAGGTCATCTTAATGTAAGCTATGACTAATTTAGTGCTCTAACCAATGACTTACCGGTCATCCTAATGTAAGCATGACAAATTTATAGGTCATCCTAATGTAAGCTATGACAAATTTTACTACTCAAACTCATGACTAATATATATCTTAATTGTAAGTACTATGACTAATACTAATATATATCATAATGTAAGCAATGACTAATTTTAGTGCTCGAACCCATGAATTATAGGTCACATAGGGATATAACTCTTTACCCGTGATTTAAGGCCCCCCTTCAAATCAACAGCAACAGAGAAGGAAAAAAAACATCTTGCATACATGCACCACATTATGAGGAAAAAGATAAATAATTAAAAAATAACACAGCAATTTAAGAAAAAGTTGGTACCATCGATTTTTTATCCGCAGACATACTGTATATCTTAAAGCCTAATTTCTACAAGCTTCATCACAATAACATCATTAAATTAGTACAAAACACTGACAATGAATTCAAAGCTCACCTGAGATAACAAAGAAGCTCAAATCGAAGAAAGAAACGAAGGCGGTGATAAAGATATGGCAGAAGCAGAGAACAATTAGATAGAAGAAGTTGAAACCGCAGACTTTCTTTACACGTGTAGCAGCAGTACCTAACACGTACTACCCTAATACCTGGAATGACCAAAAAGCCCTTGGACAGCAAGCTGGCAGGACAACGGCCAGCTGCTTCCAAGCCGCTTCTATATATAGAGAATTACAGTATATAAGTTAAATCCCTTGTGCTTTTATAAGATCAAAATCCATAAAAAGCTAAGTTGTGCGAACTCTTCACTTTCAATATTGCATCCGTGTCAGGTTCTCCAAAAATACACTACTTTTGGAGAATCCGACACGCATCCATCAACATTTTCGAAGAGTCTGAGCAACATAGATAAAAAGTATAAAATTCAATGTTATGAAACACTTTGATGCTGCAACAAAGGTTTTACTTTCATCACTTGTCTAATCCTACCTTTAATACCATCTTCTAATCTTGTACACAATTGTTCATCAAGCAAATCAATCTTCCCAGAAGATTCTAAAGCATCACGAACTAGTTTATAAGTATATTCTCTTGGAATCGAACCTTGTTCAGCCAATTCGACAAGAAGATCTCTTGCCTCCACCACCCTACCAGTTTCACACATAGCATGAATTATCGGTGTATACGAACTGTTACATGGTAGTACTACTCCATGATTCATTCCTTGCATTCTTCTCAGCATTTCAATAGCCTTATCAATCTCATTTGTAACACTATAATACCTAATGAAAGAATTATACGTAATTCGATTAGGCACAACCCCTCTTTTCACCATATCATCCAACAACTCCAATGCTCTCTCTATCCTATTAGTTTTGCAGCATCCATTGATCAAACTATTATAAGTTACTACATCAGGAACAAATCCTTTGAATAGCATGATGCGAAACAAGTGATTCGCCTCCCACATTCTCCGTCTAATAGCTTTTCTACAGCCAGTTTCCATACCATATCTACAATAAGAGCTAATCAATATTGTGTAAGTAAAGACATCAGGTGGACACCTAAAACCAGGCAACTCCATTTGCTCCATCAAGAACTTGGCTTTTTTGAAATTCCCAACTCTACAAAGAGCAAATATGAGTGTGTTGTAAGCATAAACATCAGGCTTACAGTGAAATTGCTTCATTCTGTAGAAAGTAGTCAATGCTTCATTTACCAACCCTTCTTCTCCTAGGCATTTTATCAAACACGTAACAGTTGGTGTCGTCAAAAGCCCTCTTCTCGACATTCTTTTGAGAAATTCCCAAAGAAGCTTCGAATTACAAGACCCTTTGGCAAGAACAAGAGACATTTCTCTGCAAGTGAGCTCATTGTGAGTAAACCCACAGCGGGTCTCAACCCAATGGAAAAATTCCAATGCTTTCTCTAATCCTAATTGTACCTTTTGAGGATCTCTATGAGCAGCTGGGCCAAGAATGAGTACTCCCTTCTGAGCGTTATGGAACTCTTGTTTCTCCCTTCCGAGCGTTATGGAACTCTTGTTTTAGGTTTCTCTGCTTTAATGGGGTACGGTGGCGAAACCCATTTTGTCGGCCAATGGATCTTGGGGATTGGAAGAGGAATCTGGGGATTGATCTTAAGACTTGAGAAACTGTTTCTACAGTCCAAATGGGTTGGAGAATTGAAGCCTCAAATGACCGATTTCTGATAATAGCAGCCATAACTTGATCCATAACGAGGTTTTGGATGAAAGGAGAAGAAAGTGATCTTGATGACAACACGATTCTGCAAAGGAAAAATATTCAAACTTTCATATTATATAATCAACCAAAGCCATCATGATCGCCATCAACACTAAATGAAATGAAATTAGGGGTGCCAAATAAGCTCAATCCATCCAATCTATTTAAGTTTAGTGAGTCAAAAATCGCTAATTGATTAGTTCAATCCATTTCAGATCATTAAGAATTGAGTTAATATATATCTCAAAAGAACTCATAAAATCTTGTTAAAATATTTTCTTAATTTGATAGGTCAGTACTTGCAGCATTCCACTGGTGGTATACTTTGGAGGCATGATCTAAAATATGTGAACATACGAGTTAGAAGAAACTTCATAGAGTTAAACTTTATCGCATGAACTAGAATATGAAAGAAGGGTACCTAATGTCTTGTAGTCTCCCTATTATAGATGAGGCGTGCACATCCTAGAACACTTGAACTCGGTACTCAAATACTAAGTTTGTCACGCTCAAGCCATACGCTAGGCGTGATCGATACCTAGAACCTTTACTGGTCCCTAGCGAATCTTTGATCTGACTTACTACTGAGCGGAAGATTAAACACTTACATATAAGCTTCAAAAGAGATAAGCATTCAAAACATCTAAAAATACTTTATGAAAAGTTTGAAATGTAAATATGAATCATAATAATAATATTTAAAACATCTGATGATCAAAGACTTAACTGACTCACTAACATGTCTATAAAGCCTCTACTGAACTAAGGTAGGTGCGGAACAAGACCTAAGACTAGCCCCCAAGGCCTAGCTCAAGTGGCAAAAGGTGGAGGATTTGTGGCTTAGGTCGCAGGTTCAAGCCCCACACCATGCAAAGCGAAGCCCGGTATTTAAGTGGAGAAGGGTAGAGGGGCAGGCCCATTATCCACCGAGTTTAGAAGGCTGTGATTGGTCCAAAGGGCGGGTCACAGACGGATTTCTCGGTTATCAAAAAAAAAAAAAAAACAAGACCCAAGACTACTTGAATAATGAACTAGAATGTTCTACTAAAACTAAATGACATAATAAATTGGAGTCCTCCGAAAGTAAGGATGTCTCACCAAAAGCTGATGGAGAGGATCTCAACGAAGCGTCTACTGTCGATCCTGAATACATGTATCTACATCATTAAAAGATCCAGTGCCGAATGGCGTCAGTACATATAATGTACAATATATAAAATAGCTGAATGAAACACTTGTTAGACGGAATATACTTAACTGAAAGAGTAACTCAGAGAAGAACTATAAAATATATAACTGTAAAGTAAAGCATGCAAGTGTATTGAAATCAATAGAACTTTACAAAGTCATATGGAATGATATCAAATGCTAAAATAGAATACTTTACTTTTCTTGGGGAGTTTCTCTAACCGACAACCATCACTATGAGCCTCGTGATGATACCAAGTCTTGCCCACATTGCCAGAGCCATTTAATACTTTGTCATGAAAAAGGACGAGATGAACTAATGGATCCAATAACTATGCCCTTACCAGGGGCTTTATGAGGAGTCGCCCGAATCAACGGCACAATCCTATCCTACGGTGACTGCAAAGTCATGGAGTTTGGATTATCTAACTCGTACCCAACTCGGTGTTCAATACTACTCTCAAAACATGCAAATATAGTTCCATTTTAGGAAAAAGCTGAGGGTCCCACCTAGGGGAAGAGCTGAAAATATTGTCTTGACTTGATGTTCTGCATATTCTTTTATCAAAACACTAAATTTACTTTAAAGACTAACTGAGAATCCTTTCTCTAAAATTGATTATCTTTCCTTAAACTAGCCTTGTTTTTTTCATGAAGATAATACATAATAATTGATATATCAAGGCTTTCATAGAATTCATAATTAAATAGGGTTCATGGGATGAAATAAGCACGATCACTGATTAAGAATCATCCAATAATTGATATACTAAAATTGCATAGGAGTGGGGTTTTACCCTGTGCGCACTCAAAGGGTAGCTAGCAGCTGCGGATTTCCCTTGTCATCAAAAAAAAAATATACTAAAATAGCCACAACAAAAATCAAGAATTCATGATAAGAGAGTAAGTAAAACTTTCGAATGTAGTAAACCTTGGGATTGAAACCTTAATTGAACCTTGCTAACTAAAATTTAGATGTAGGGAGTGAGAAAAAACTCGTTCACTCACTATGATAGTCTTACATACCATAGGCGCTCTAAATTCTTGAGAATCTTTGGAGAAAAAGATACATTAACTCTAACTAGTTTTATTTCTTACTCTTACAAACACAACATGGACCATGCCTAAGCACACTGCAGATCTACTCAGCTGCTGGATTAGAAGAGGTGGAAGCAAGAGCCAGAAGAGATGGTGGAAAATCATTCCACATTGCATTTGGTGGACTATGTGGAGAGAGAGAAATAGCAGACGTTTTGAAGATAAGTCCAATTCCATTCATAGAGTTAAGTGGAATTGTATTGTATCTTTATTTTTTTTGGTGTAAACAAACAAACATAGAGGAATTAGAGCTTGTAGATCTGTTAGGCTCTCTGTAAGTAGTTTCTCCCTTTCTCTCTTTTTTTATTTGTTTTGTTCCCTTTTGAAGGTCTCCAGCATATCCTTAATGCTGAGGAATACAACATTACCTTTCAAGAAAAAAACTAGTTTTAAACTAATTTCAACAACTATATTACATTATTTAAAATAATAAATTAAACTAGGAATTAATTCAATTTTATTTGAACTTATTTCAACAACTAAACTACATTAACTCTAACTGGTTTTAAACTAATTCAAACAACTAAATCCGCCAACTAAACCACATTATTTTAAATGATAAATCAAACTAGGGGTTCATTAAATTTTATTCGAACTTATTTCAACAACTAAACTACATTAACTCTAACTAGTTTTAAACTAATACAAATAACTAAATCCACCAACTAAACCACATTATTTTAAATAATAAATCAAACTAGGGGTTCGTTAAATTTTATTTGAACTTATTACAACAACTAAACTACATTAACTCTAACCTATGTTGCTCGGACTCTTCAAAAATTTCAACGGGTGTGTGTCGGATGCGCCAAAAGTAGTGCATTTTTGGAGAGTCCGATACGGGTGCGGCATCAAAAGTGAAGAGTCCATGCAACTAAGACTCCAACTAGCTTTAAGCTATAACTCCAACAACTAAATTCACCAATTAAACCACATTATTTCAAATAATAAATTTAAGTAAGGGTAAATGAAATTTTATTTGAACTAATTTCAACAACTAAACTAAATTATTAGCTACTAACTAGTTTTGAATTAATTCCAACAACTAAATCCACCAACTAAACCACATTATTTCAAATAATAAATTAAAGTAGGGGTTAATGAAATTTTATTTGAACTAATTTCAATAACTAAACTACATTATTAGCTCTAACTAATTTTGAATTAATTCCAACAACTAAACCACAGTATTTCAAATAACTGATCAAATTAGGGGTAAATTACACTTTATTTGAATTTATTTCAACAACTAAACAACCTTACTACTAAACTAGTTTTAAACTAATTCCAACAACTAAACCACATTATTTTAAATAACTAATCAAACTTTATTTGAACTTATTTCAACAACTAAACCACCTTAATGCTAAACTAGTTTTAAACTAATTCCAACAACTAAACCACATTATTTCAAATAATAAATTAAACTAGGGGTTAATTAAACTTTACTTAAACATATTTCAACAACTAAGTCCACCAACTAAACCACATTATTTCAAATAACTAATCAAACTAGGGGTGAATTAAACTTTATTTGAACAACTAAACCACCTTAATGCTAAACTAGTTTTAAACTAATTCCAACAACTAAATTCACCAACTAAACCACATTATTTCAAATAGTAAATTAAACTAGGGGTTAATTAAACTTTAAACTTTATTTGAACTTATTTAAACAGCTAAACCACCTTAATGCTAAACTAATTCTAAACTAATTCCAACAACTAAATCCACCAACTAAACCACATTATCTCAAATAACTAATCAAACTAGGGGTTAATTAAACTTTATTTGAACTTATTTGAACAACTAAAGTACATTAACTCTAACTAATTTTTAAATTAATTCAAACATCTAAATCAAAGTCTAGGACAAGACAAACAACTATACTTTGTTACAAACTAATTCCAACAACTAAATCAAATTAAAGTTAAGTGTCAACACTAGATGGACACAAATTGATCTTGCAAGAAAAATAATTTTGTCATGTATAGGATCAACTAATGTTGGTACTTATGCTTTTTTTTTTTTGATGACCGAGAAAATCCGTCTGTGACCCGCCTTTTTGGACCAATCACAGCCTTCTAAACTCGGTGGATAATGGGCCCGCCCCTCTACCCTTCTCCACTTAAATACCGGGCTTCACTTTGCATGGTGTGGGGCTTGAACCTGCGACCTAGGCCACAAATCCTCCACCTTTTGCCACTTGAGCTAGGCCTTGGTACTTATGCTTAACAAACGCATTATCCCTAAATTTAAAGCCAAGTGTCAACACTAGATGGACACAAATCGATCTTGCAAGAAAATCAATTTTATCATCAATAGGATCAACTAGTGTTGGTATCTATGCTTTACAAACACATTATCCCTAAATTTAAAGCTAAGTGTCAAAACTAGATGGACAAAAATCGATTTTGCAAGAAAATCTATTTTGTCATCAATATGATCAACTAGTGTTGGTACTTATGCTTAACAAACATCTTATCCCCAAATTTAAAGCTAAGTGTCAATACTAGATGACCACAAATTGATCTTGCAAAAAAGTCAATTTTGTCATCAATAGGATCAACTAGTGTTGGTACTTATGCTTAACAAACAGATTATCCCTAAATTTAAAGCTAAGTATCAACACTTGATGGAGACAAATCGATCTTGCAAGAAAATCAATTTTGTCATCACTAGGATCAACTAGTGTTGATACTTATGCTTTAACAAACACATTATCATCAAATTAAAGTTAAGTGTCAACACTAGATGGACACAAGTCGATCTTACAAGAAAATCAATTTTGTCATCACTAGGATCAACTAGTGTTGATACTTATGCTTTAACAAACACATTATCATCAAATTAAAGTTAAGTGTCAACACTAGATGGACACTAATCGATCTTACAACAAAATCAAATTTGTCATCTATAGAATCAACTAGTGTTGTCACTTATGCTAAACAAACACATTATCACTAAAGAACACTATAAAAACTCAAACAAACCCTAAACAAAATGCAGTGTTGTACATTGAATAAAAGAAATCTAATATATACAATAATTAAACTTTTGGAGGAAAAAATACCTCAACTTTTTTTAATTAGGGATGGAGATGGAAGGGTTGGCAGTAGTTTGCTCGACGGCGTCAAAGATTGGAACCTTCAATTAAATTGTACCCCTGCACTTAAAATTTTGTACACCAAATTTGGTACATTCTATAGTTGTTGAATTTTTTCTTTAAAAAACTACTTTAACAACAAGTTGATAGCACAAACGGCTTAGAGAACACATAAAAAGTTATACTCTTATATATCACAAAATGCCATAGTTCAATTTGATTTTTTTTCTCGAGAAAAAAAAAAGAGCTAAGAGAAGATTAAAGGCTTTCGGTACGAATTCAAATTTAGTTATATATGGAGGGCCAATTGAGATAAGAAGTACTTTATTGAAAGTTGTTATAACTTTGTGTATTGTGTGAAGTGTGGATGCTCAGATATGGAGGGCCAAAAGTTGTTGGGATATAGGTTAGCTAAGTCTAGAGTGGAAGCGGGCTAGTCGTTTCGACAATTGGATGATTCTAACTCACCAGCTCACTCTCCGATGAATTCGCCTTTGGTCACGACTTAAACTAAAAAAATTACTTTGCTTTGTTCTTGTTGTTTATAATAAGAGGAGGGAAAAAGTTCCTATGTTATAGTGAGAGAAAATGATCAAAAGGGTCCTTAAGCACTAGTGAAAGAAGAAATCTTGGAGCTAGACAAATGGTCCCAACCCTCGTTAAGCACTAGAGCTACATAAACTGTTTTGCAACCAAACAAATCATCAAAAATTGCATCACTTCTCTGCCACTGTTAAGGGTAGTAATTTTACATCTGTAGCCTTAGTCCCTGTTAGTTATCATTGTTTGTTACCCTTACAACAACATCAAGTAGCATAGGTATTTCACCTTGAATGTCATCTGCTTTGAATTTTTTTTGAAGCCTAGAGTCTACCGAAAATAGTCTATCTACCTTCTCAAACTCCACTTATGAAACTACAAACAAGACATGAATGTGCTAAGAAGTAAACCAGATGTGCTAGTAAAATGTTCACCAGATTTTTCCATGGATTATAAGCACTTGATATGCTCAATTTACACTAGGAATTTTCAGTAAATGAATCAAACAGCCATGAAAAAACAGCCATGAAAAATAATGCAGATTCAATGGAACAGTAATATTGATGAACAATAATCAATGGAACAGTAGAAAAAGGGGAAATTCAGGGAATAGAAAATGAGGAAGACAACTAGTTGCTAAGCTAACTTACAACTAAGAGATATATGGCAAAACAAGATAATCCCATTTCATTTTCATCAGTACAATATATATAGGACCACAACCCTAGCTGATTCATAGAGTATGCTTGCAACAGTGTCCTCACCTACTACTGCTTCTGACAGAGCTATGCCAGCTCATACAAAGATGACTAAAGTGCAATTAAACAAAATATAATACTACTACTTCAGGGATTAAAGTGCTAACTTAACAACTTCAGCCACTTTCATTCTGCATCATTCCCTTGAGTCTAATTCAACATTTCATACTTATCAACCCAAGTACCCAACGAGAGAAGTGAAAGAAATTATTTGTAACTTAAACAACATACTGGCTTAGGGAAATAATTCCAATGTATTTTAACCTTTATAGTAGAGTCACTTTCATGTGTAACGCTGTAATATAAAGGTCATCAACTCCAAAAGGAGAAAAGGATGGAGTTTGCATTAAGTTCTTGATTTTGTCAGTTTAAAATTTTCATGACTTGGGATTGCTGATGCATAGAATATTGTCTTCACACTGGTATCTATCCAGAAGATTATTAAGGATCAGTAGGTGACAATTAAAGAAAATAACATGGACCACCAAATAATAGGTGATTTATCGCTTGACAATTTCCAGTAAGATATACAAGCACATCATAAACAACTGATGCAGCTTGGACATATTATACTAGAACAGGGTGCGCAGCTTTGTAATCTAATCAAACACCTTCAAAAAGTCTCTTTGCAGCATCAAACTACCTTTACCTCAAAGTTCTCCTTGTGCAAGCAGAGGAAAGAAAGAAAGAGAGCTTAAAACTTAATGCATTAGAAAAACAAGAGGAGGAACGTTAGGAATAAAGTACAGACCTCACCGCCAACTTTTGCATATTCTTCTTTTGAAACAAGATCAATGTGTGCTCCAACTAAACGGTCAACAAGGAGGTTCCCTGTTAATCCAGGATCTTTATCTACAAGTAACTGTGACATAACTAAAGAAGTTATTCACATAAACGGGAAGATGTGACTTGCAGAAGATGTATGAATCAAACAGTATTTTTTGGGATAAAGGTAATGTTGTATTCTTCAGCATTAAGGAGATGCTAGCTACCATCAAAAGAGATTTACAGCTGGCTCAAAGATAAGACAAAAACTTGCTACACAGAAACCTATAAGGATCTTATAAAACCTAAAATTTGCTCAGCATCCTCTATACCCTCCTCTTTACACAAAAAGAAGAAAGTCCTTTGAAGTAAACAGAATACCAAGAGAACAATTATGGTATACCTTTGAAGTGCGTAAGATGAGATAACAGTCAAGGTTTAAGTACTTGGCAGCGACAGCAGTAGCACGACAGTGATTACTTTGTATGCCACCTATAGTCACTATGCAGTCAGCACCCTGTGCTACAGCATCTGCCAACAAGAACTCCAGCTTTCTGACCTTGTTTCCACTCAATTGCATTCCTGACATATCATCACGCTACAAATTCAAAGTTAGTTCGTGTTATAAAGCGTCTGGAATAGTGACACTGGCATGAAAACAGCCTAACAGATAAGAGAAACAATAGCACAAAAAGAAATCCTCATCCTCAGGCTCCCTATGAAACAAGAACTTGCACTTTACATATACCATGAAGTATTTTCCAATGAAAGCCTTTTCTTGTTTTAATATGTATATTTTCTAGAGGAAGGCTTACCATCTATCTTATAAACGATTGTCGTTCAAGTGTACCTCTTTGCAGTGACCCAACAAAACGCAAATTTTCCAGATAATCAAGCTGCAAAATGCACTTGATGGACATCAGTTTGAGACGAAATCTAGGGGAGAGAATGGAGATACCCCACTAGTCCTTAATTTATTCTGATATTTTCTCAGTGAGGTGTATTCAATCATGTCCTTTAACTTGTTTTCGTTTTATTCTGTTTTTTTCTTTTTACCCCAAAACACATACACACACACATGTTAAAAAGTACTCATCTCTAATGCCACTGCAAATAACTTCGAGAAGATATTTCAAATATTAAGGTTATCCCACTCTTCATTATTTGCATGAAAATAGTAGGATACATTTATTATCATTTTACCCCCTAGTTTCATAGTAGTTGTCACAATATATTTATCTTTTTACCAGTGTACATCCTCAGAAAAATATTTATATGTCATAATACCAATATCCAACTTATTTATCAAAAAGTACCAATACCCAACTTTTTATACATCTATATGAACACATAAACTTGGTACTCATGTACTACATACAGGGGCGAATTTAAGCTTAAAAAATGGGTCACTTGAACCCGTGGTCATCCGACAAAACTCGATGTATTACATGTATAATTTTTAAAATATGTCAAATAGCAACTGAATGAACCCATGAACACAAACAACTGGATGGCTCACTGGTTTGAGTGTTAGTTTTCCACTTTGAGGTTGAGGGATCAATTCCCAGATGCTGCATTTTCACAACCTTGCATTTTATTTTATTCACAAAAGAGTTTCTGCATTCAGCCTTTTTTAAACTTCTTCTAATGACTTTTT